GCACTGAACTTTGTTTTTCCTTTGAAGACATTCGGCTTCTCATCCAAGAAGCTTCTTCAGCTCTGACAGGACAGTGAGGAATGGAAGGATATATATTCCTTGGAGACTGAAATCCTTCCATTCCCCACTCTCCTGTCAGAGCTGAAGAATCTTCTTGGATGAGAAGTTATGAAGTAGCAATGAAAATTTTAGGGTTGGGGGTCACCACAACATCAGGAACTGTATTAAAGGGTCGCAGCATTGGGAAGGTTGAGAACCACTGCCCTAAAGTCTACTTGCTTATTTCAAAATATTATTTTAAAGTTTCAGATTTTTTAGTAAAGTGCAACATAGTTGTTCATACTCTGCCAAATGGTTCATATCCTTTGTTAGAAATTGTTTAATTCTGCCAGAGGTTCTTATCAGAGGCATGGCTTCTCTTCTTTCTCTAACTTTAGGCTGCACAGAAATAGAGCAATGTTCTTTTTAATATTTATACAATATAAATTTGGCCAGGATGTCTCTAAACTGAGCTTATGGAGTATTACAACAAATGTGATTTGTGCAACAGTGTTTTGTTTTTTAAAAAAAAGTTATAATTGCCTAGATTCACACAACATACTTGGCCAAACCTAGTGCTGTACTCACAATACAATTTAGCCTGATATCTGTAAATTCCATAGTGTAAATGGTAATTACCTGTTGTACTACTATAGGACAACAGTCCAAAAGAGAGCAGTTTGCTTACTTGTAAAATCCAGATTTAAATCCTTAGAGTGAAATAAGAAGCCAAAGGCAATAAAGACATGCCTTTGCAATAAAGATATACAGGGGAGTAATTATAGTGTAAACCAATTTTCTATCCTTGTGAATCATCCTAACTTCTACCCTACCTATCCACTACATCAGACATTGCATTATAGTTATAACACATTAAAATCTATGTATTCTATGTTCTGCTAAAAGTTTGGTAGGAAACCAGATTTTAGAGGCACCAGTTGACTATTTCAAATTTATTATCCTTGAATATCATGTTTCATGTTTTTGGTTGCCACTTCTATTGAACTAGAACAGTTTGCAGGGAACATTCTGATAGAATCTTCTCATTCAATATTGCTGCTGCAAAGAATAGATGCTAAATTGCTAACAAGAATATCTTGCAGGTCATAGAAAGCACAGGTAGCATGGTGACTCAGCAATTAAGATGCTGGGTTTGTTGGCTGGAAAGCTGGCAGCCCAGGTTCGAGACCCAAGCTCCACGCAACAGGGTGAGCTCCCATCCTTACCCCAGCTCCCGACCTAGCAGTTTGAAAGCATACAAATACAAGTAGATAAATAGATGCCACTTCGGTCACGTGACATGATCAAGACCTGTGGTGTGAAGGTAACAGAATTCTGTGACATCATGCTGTCCATATGACTCTGGAATTGTCTTCAGACAACACTGGCTCAATGGCCTTGAAATGGAAATGAGCACCCTGCCCCCTGTAGTCTGCAACAATTAACAGAGTAAAATCCACAGGGACTCCATAAAAAGAAACATAAAGTCAGATCTAATATACATATAGTAATTTTATGGAAATATGAGGCTAATCAGAATTGGATGTGTAATTTTGAAGAAACATTTTCCAAGTTCTAGCCTCTATCATGGCTTAATCTCAAGCAACAGCATTCGTCCACTGTAATTGCCCCTAGTTTGATGTCATTCTTAGATAAAAAGAGAATGGTGATGACCTTGCAGTGACTGTTAGTTACAAATTAGAATTTGAAATACGTTCACGATAACTGGTCCCTAAATTTAAAGCAGTATACCACCTTTCTAGATTTCTTAGGTGAAGCTAGGTTAATATTTCTCAGTTTTCTTCTTGTGTTGGCCAGAAATCTCCAGAAATACCCTTTCCCATAACCGCAGATTTGATTTTTTGATCTAAGGTCTAACTCTCATGTCCTTATTTTGGGTTCTAGGAGAACTGCTGAGGCACCAGTTGTCCCTGTCAAGCAGGGTGTATCATGATTTCTTTTGGAGGAATTGCTGCCAAGCTGGAAAGAGACCGTCTGCGAGCTGAGGGTGTGGGTGATCACGAGAATTCTGTGAAGTACCTTGGTCAAGATTATGATACCCTGAAGCAAGAATGTTTGGAGAGTGGAACATTATTTGAAGACCCCGTATTTCCTGCTGTTCCCGCAGTCCTTGGCTTCAAGGAACTGGGCCCTAATTCTAGCAAGACCCGTGGGGTGCACTGGAAGCGCCCATCAGTGAGTATCTGTGTGCTGAAGAAAGCTTTAGTAATGTGAGGAGTTGATATCGTGGTCTGCATTCAAATATAGTAGATTTCATTGTGGCTTACTGAACAAACTAATATATTTGCCAAAACCTTATTTTAACAGATCCATTTTAGTAGACTTCAGATGCAATAGGCAAAATTTTTGTCTGGACAGCATCTCAAACTAACTGACAAATTAATTACATCTCAAGTAATTTGGACTAAGCATTAAAAATAGATAGCAGTAAATGATATATGTTTGGATTTAAAGGACACTTCGGAGTTAAAATTTAACAAGAATATCTTAAATAAACCATTAAATCAAGGCTTTACTTTAGTTATTTTTATGGTCTCTATCTGTGTTCTTATTAGTAGTATTTCCTGTTCCTAATTTCAAAACATCTGTGCAGTTTATGAAGTATGGAAAAGAGCCAACTCCAAGACTGATTACAACATTATTCAATAACTAGATTAATGTATTGTATTAAGTCTTGACTCAAACAACTATGCAATGTTAAGTATTCCACAGATGGCCTGGTTAGTATACTGTATTGTATTAAGCCATAAAACTTTGTTGCTACATATTTGTAGATTATCCCAGGTCTATAATTTAACAGATGTTATTTTGTAAACTTCATACATAGCATGACTAAACTATGAGATGCAAACTCATTACTTCAAATCTCAGTTGTGTTATAACTTTCTTTCCCCTTTCCCTTTCCATCTGTCATGCAGATTATTTAAGCATTACTAAAGCAATATAATTGAGCAGATACAAAAACAATTGTTAAACATGGAACAAGGTGAAGTTTTTTTTAAAAAAATAGCTTATTCTCTTAGAGAATTACAAGATATGAAATTAATCTTATAATATAGCTGAAGGTAAATATGTAGGGCAAAGATTCATTGATACAACTCATAACACATGGATTAGCATTCATTTTTATTTAGATATGCATAGGAAATTGCATGTTGCACAGCAATCAAATACTGTAAATATTTAAACATGAAATTGCATCATTTTCAATATAAAGGGAATACTGTTGGGCTCATTATCACGGACATTAGTTTTCTCAGGCCTCTACTTTTTGGTTTACAAATACAGGATGGAGAAATAGTCTTGAATAAACACAGCCATTTATGCTCCTAATATAGGAAAATGTTACAAGGCTATGCGTGGCAAAGTCATGATTAGTGATGCAGGATATAGTGATTGCAAAAATAAAGTTATATCAAAGAGTCTTAAAAATATAAGCCTCTCCAGATAACCTGACTGATACATATGAATTGGGAAGGAAACTGGGAAAGAAAGAACCTACCTGAAAACATGGTCATGTTTGAAGTGATCTTCTTAGAGAAACATTAGCACAACTCCTAATAGTGTCTTTATACTGTAGATGTCTACCAACTATGGGACCATAGAATCATCAATTGGTGATTCTGTATAAATTGAATCATCAATGTATACATAATCACCATTCCCTGTAAAGCAGAGAGTGTTTACAGAGCTTTGGAATAAGCTCACAAAGTCACACAATGCCATGTAAGGAAGGTGGTTACAGGATCTTAGTGGGTGTGAGTTCTACTGGTTATAAGAGACAATAGACCTGTTTGATTAAATAAAGCATTACGCTGAGTCTCATAATAGAAGAAAAGGAGAACATGAATTTGTAAACGTACAAAAGAATTAGTGGGTCTTAGAAGGTCGGACTTATTGTTGGCTAGCAAAAACAATACAGGAAGAATGGATAGCGAGTAACTTTAGCCTTGTTCAGAAATCCATTTACCTAATTTTTCTTTAGCCACATTACATGCATATTGTATTTCATATTTCCCCATGTGTTTGTATGGGAACAATGAGGAAACCTCCTTCTTAATATATCTTTTGACAGGAAATTGTAGATGACCCTCAGTTTATTGTTGGAGGCGCAACAAGAACAGATATCTGCCAGGGGGCTTTGGGTGAGTATTGTATAGTTAATTACATAACAAGTGGTAAACTGATGGTTACAGAAGCATTAGTCAGAGATGCTGCGGTGATTTAATAGTTTCATTAATTATCTTCACATTAAAACCTTGTGTAGTCATTGAGTTTTTGAGAGGTTTTTTTTTTAGTAAACTTAAACCAGTAAATTGAACATTGCTATTTTCATTGCTGCTAAATTTTTTGTGGATTTAGTCGCATATAAGTGGCAGCAATCTGGTAGGGCTTTTTGGTTATTCATAGACAGAATGTGATGTCCATCTTTCCATCACAGAATAATTAAGATGTTTTTGCATTTTTTCAGCTCAATAATGCAGAGCCTTTTCTCTTGTGTACTGAATCTACATTAATATGGAGAAGGAGAAAGGGAGCAATTATTTGAGAAAATTGGGAGCAAATATGATGTTCCCCACTTACATAGAATATAAACATGGAGAAGAATGTGTGTTTTGATCACATTGATTCCAGTCATTACTGTAGGAAGGAGAGGGTCTTTTCATGCCTCCTCAGAAAGCAAGGGTCCTTCACAATGCTCTTTCTGTTTTCAACATAATTTCTGTAAAAAAATTGTAAAGATAACAGAAATCTGCTATTGATATAAAATGAGTTACTCACAGAATATTTATTCAGATGAAAGTAATAGTTTTTGCATGTATGTTGTAGCTGTAGGAGAACCATTCAAAACTCTCAAGCATCTTGAAACCATTGATGTGGACAATAAAGGCCTTTATTATATTAGCAAGTAAAGTGGTACATTTTTAGTGCATTGCATTTTCTATGCTTCGCACTATTAAAAACCCAAAAGATGCCAAGGAAGCTTTTAAACTATTTGCATCAAGTTATATTACGAAGTTTGTATGAGCTTTAAGGCTTAGTCTTTCAAATAACCAATTTCACCTTATAAATTAGGACTGGAATTATGGGGTGGGGGGAAGTATTGACATAGTTGTGTAGGCTGCAGAGCAAACCAAGCGGAAGAATTAAAAAGCTTAATCCTGCTCTGACTTCTGAATCTGTATCAAATATACTGTATTTAAAAATGTAGCAGCTCTTAGAGCTGCAAAATTCAAAATTAAGCGGATTAGTTTTATTAAGCTGGAGATTTCAGAATACTCATTTCTGTAGTGAGAGTGCCATTAAGAGTCTCTGCATTATGTGTATTATTCTTCAAGGCAGATCAGTATCTCTTGGCTGCTTTAACTCTAGATTCATTAGATCTGAAAGTTCTGTATCTGTGAAAAAAGGAATTCGATATTGTAAATATTTTTTTCCAAAACAAATGTTAAGTTTAGGTCAGCATTAAATTATCAACAAGGATTGGAAGTGCATCACAGTAAAAATACCATCTGGCAGAACATTTTTTGTGTGCATTCGTCAATATTTCTTGACACTCCATGTTACGAATCACAATGGATGAAAGGGAATCAGTATAGTCATTTTATTGATAAATTGAAGAGGATGGGAAGGAGTTGTGATATGTGATTTCCAAAAATGTCTTTCTGAAGTATCTCATAAATCCAAAGTGTCCTTTCCTGGAGCATAGCAAGATAGAACCCCCATGGCAAATGAAAACAAACTGTGTGTCAATCATAGATTTTTAAATAGATTTTGTCCTTTCTCATCAACTGAACTGTCCCCATTCTCTGCTCCAGTTCTGGCATTTGTTACAAAAATATCCAAGATTAGTTTCAGGCAGAAGGACAAATTTATTACAAACATTGCAGATTATCATTGCAGACTCCTGTAAATCCATCTTCATTTTTTCTTACAATACCACCTATGGAAATGTTTTTTCCTTCCCATCTCTCAGGCTTATAGATTAGCCAAGTAAAAACTGTTGATTTAGAGGAACTCCTCTTAAACTCTTTAAGGCAAACTAGCTTTCCCTATTCATTCACTTGGTGAGCTCACTCCCTTGAACAGGCTGCCTTATAAGGTGCTGTGTGATAGAAAATGTTAATTTCCCCCTCTTCCTAAACAAGACAGCTTAAAGGGAATACTTTGCTATGAAAAGAATAGCTGATTATAGAAGGAATATCAGTTCTGTTTCAGACATTATGGTAAACAGTGTTTATAATGATATATATGAACCTGGAATTTGCAAGCTCCCATTCCTCTTCGCTACTTGTAAATAATTTGGGTTCCTGGTATGTCTGAAAGTAGAAAGAACAATTAGAGAAATGATCTAGAATTATAAATCACAGCATGGTGTTATCTTTTCCTAAGAAATAGTTAAGAACGATCTGTTTTTCCACATTCAAGTATAGAGTAACTACATCTAGTTGAAGGGGTTAGAAAAAATTCTCAGTCTCTTTTTTATGATAACTTAAGCTGCAGCTGAAATGGAGAGCTCACAAAACTGATGCTGAAGGATCTAAATCCAGTCAGTTCTTGTTGGATCCAAGGAATCTGCCTTCCCTTCTTGAGTGTGGCATGCCCTACATGATTCTGGATGATAGAGAAAGAATCACTTTATAGTAGAAGTAAGGAAATGTAATACTTGGAATGTTTCTCCATCTTGGTTCCCAAGATGGATTTTGATCTTTTTGATACAGAAACTAGCCAATAAAAATTAACCAATGAATGACATATTTGATGCACTAGAAGTCTATTTCTGTCATTTATCTATGTTTTTAATGCATATTTTTGATATTGTTGTGCCTCACCCAGACTCCCATCAATTTGGAGACAGAACAAGTTACTAATATCAGATAGTAGATAAATAAATAATAAAATAAATAATATTCTATGGAAATAATTGCAAGGAGAGAAAAATCAAAATGGAAGGAGATTGTGCATGATTGAATATATATCTATATGTGTGACAAGAACCAATATATTATAATGAAGGACAGAGTAAAAGATGGAAATTTGGGAATTAGCGAACACTTAACATATGTTTCCAGCCCTGCCTCAGAGAGCTGTTGCCTACACCCATCCTTTTTACTGTATGGGGTTAACAGGTGCATGACTCTCAGGGTAGCCATTAGCCCACTGTTCTTCGAGAATAGGCTGATTACTGTCCTGCCACCTGATTGGAAGGGCCTTTATCTCAACAGATGTTTTTTTCAAGAATGCCAAGGAAGTAAGTCAACAAGGTGAGCCGTGGCATTGGAGTTACTGTGGCGACCATGGCACAATGCACGGTTATGTGTACCTTCTTCTCAATCTGTGATAGCATCCACTTTTCTCTGCTAGATAAGACAAGGCCTTCGTTCCTTTGATAGCTGGGAAAGGAAATGTGTTCTCCCCATTACTGCAACTCTGAAAAAAAGCTGCAGGGACTGAACCTTCTGAAGAGCTTTTCAGAGTATAGATCCATATACAATATGGGAAATTTTAAAAAATGAGGAGTTCCCAGGTGGTTCTCCCTCTCACTCACACAACCTTCATGTGGTTTTTCCTCTTGGCATTGCTATATACTTTACTATGTAGTTGCAGTAATATTTAAAGCATAAATTGCAATGGGGGAAAGAATGAGCTGATTAGCAATGTGCTGTGTTGGGAAATATTTATACCTTGCTTGAGTGTTTATATGGTGTGGTGATTAAGAGTGTTGCAGCAGCTCACTGGAGAAGTCAAACTTCAAATCCTGACTTGGCCATGACATTGATTCATTGCCATTCAGATTGCCACTCTCTCACAGGATTATTGTGAGGTTAAAAGGGGGGAGAAAAATACACATCAGCTGTAATCCCTTTTAATTGTATGTTTATCTCATCTTATTTGCTTTTCCTGGAGAATAACTATGTAGTCACTAAGAGTCAATATTGACTTGATGACACTTAATTATTTAGCTCAGTGTGGTTTTTCTTATTGTTCTTCCAACATGGAAAGTTTTGGTCCTGTTTACTTGATAGATGGGGATCTGTAGGATCCCAAAATAGATACAGTCAGGTTGTCTGAAATCTCTTATATACATTTTGAACCTATGGCATTCTTTCCTTCAGTCTTTCTCATACTAACCGCCTTTCCTAAATCATTTATGCCATCAAACAACAGATGAGTTCTACATCACTAAATTATGAAAAGAAGAAGTAATTAAAACAACAGAGGTATAAAGCAATTTATAAATGTGACTATTGTGGATGGAGAAATTGATCCTGTAAGATAACTTTTGCATTAGTGAACAATGAAAACAACTGCTACTCAGCGCAACCTATCAACCTGACAATTGTGAATGGAGATACAGCTCCTCTAAGTTCTTAATGGACTAGAATCCCTGGCTAAGTAGCAGCTTCTGGTAGCTTTTATATTTCCATTTGCTGATCAGTAGCTGTAGTGTTTCATCTCCTCAGCATGCTGTTTTATGATAGAAATAGAGAAAGGAAGAACCGTATTTTTCAGAGTATAAGACACACCTTTTTCCCTCAAAAAAGAGGCTGAAAATATGGGTGCATATTATACACTGAATACAGCATTTTTTGCCTTCCGAAACCCTGCCCCCCTTCACCAAAATGGCCATGCATAGCTTTTAGGAGGCTTTCAGAGAGCTCCTGGGGGCTGGGGAAGGCAGAAATGAGCAAAAAACAGGCCAATGTTTGTTCAATTTTGCTCCCACCCCAGCCCCTAAGAGCACTCTATAAGCCTCCTAAAGGCTATTCATGCCATTTTAAAAAAAAATGTCTGTTCCCGTTTTCACGAAAAACGGGCCGTTTTTGGGAGGTCTGCAGAGTGCAAAAAAAATTTCTTAAAATTTGCCTCTTCAAAACCTTGTACATCTTATACTCCAGTGCATCTTATGCTCCGAAAAATACAGTATGTCCTTCAAGCAACCAGTAACATCCAAATCTTATCTGCAGCCTGGAAGGAACCAGCACATACTCCTCTTCCCATTTCTCTCAGACATCGTAAAAAAGGCTCTTCTACCTTAATGGTAATTTACTCGTGATTTATTGATAAAGGTCCTTGTGCAGCCATTTTTTCAGACCGCAGGATATGTCTGCAAAATCCTCACTAAGCGAGTGTGCTTCTTTCAGGCCAGATAAAAATTAATTGAACTGAAATTGTGGTTTTAAAATGTTCATTAAGCATCACCATGCACAAACCCATTTAAAAGAAAAGAACTCTAGTTTTAGAACGTTCTGCATGTTTAAATATCAGTCAAGTGAAATATTGCCTTAGCACTATTTTCCTGCATTAATGTGTTACAGGCTGGACTGAAAAGTTGAAAAAACAAAACGGGAAGACAGCAATAGCAAAGCACTTATATACTATTAACAAGAAATCTAGATAGGACGCATTCATAAAGTTGCCAAAACAGAAACAGAAAATTCTTCAAATTACAGTACATAAACTAGGATGCTACAATAATAGAGAGCAGACAAAGAAAACTGATTATGTGCCATCAAGTCAGTATTGACTTTTAGTGACTGCATTGCTAGATTTTCTCCATAATATTCTATCACTAATCTTTCAGGCCTTTCATCAATGCCCCAACTGCACTGTAACTGTACTTCCATATTTCTGCTCTTCCTTTCCTTTCCCAGCATTAGAGTTTTCTCCAGTTAGTTCTTCACATAATGTGTGTGAAGTAAAGTGATTTGAACCTGGCCATTTGCACCGCAAGCGGTCTGATTGTTCAATGGTCCATTTGTTTGTTTTCTTGACTGTCCAGGGTATTTTCAGGAGTCTTCTCCAACACCAAATTTCAAAAGCATCAATACTCTTCCTGTCCTACTTTTCAAAGTCCCTGTTTCATTTTCACTTCATAAAATGTCATAGGGAATACCATGGCTTGCATTATTGTAGGTATAGAAATATCACTGTATCTGAATATATTTTCCAAGTCTTTTATGGTTTGCACTGCCAAGTTCTAGTCTGTTGGTTTCTTGTTCCCTTACTGTTGATGGTTGATCTTAAAAGATAGAAGCATCAACTACTTTCATATCCAAGAAAAAGAAAAAGACAGTCAGCATAATCCAATAAAAACATTGTGAAATGTATAATCATGGTTCATAGCTAAATATACCATGGACTCTTAAAGTATATAAACAATATAAAATCATCACATATGCTGATTAATATCTCTGCAGTCCAATATATATGTATGTATGTATGTATGTATGTATGTATGTATGTATGTATGTATGTATGTATGACATAAAAACTAACACAAATTAATAAAAAGCCTAAAAAAGAAGAAAGTGCGGAAGTATTAAGAAAAAAATAAAAGCTTCCAATTTTCTTTGTAGCAATTATAAGTACAATTTAAAAAAATATTTCACTCTATGATTACGGAAGAAAGCTCACTCTTTTCTGTTATCCAGATTTTTTTTCTAATCATCAAAACCACAAATCATAAGTCCTTTTTTCCCTTTTATGCAAAAAGTCTATTAGGCAGAAGACAAAATTCTTTTATTTCAATAATACATAGCATTGCTGTACATTGGTGGTAAGTTATCCATTTGCACCAAACATACTGTATACTAAGAAATACAGTATATCTTGATTTATCTTATCTGGCCTCATCCTTACCTCCTCTTATGTCAGTTAATTTGCTTAGATCTATTTTAATATCATTCCCTTTGGGGCAATAGATCAAGCACTATAAGAGTTGAAGAGCATCACCTCTTACTATCTTATCTTATTCAAGCAGTGGCTCCTTCTCTTCCTTTGTTTTTATCACTAACTCAGCAACAAAAATTCTTTTTACTGCTTTTATCTTTTTTGTAAGTCTTTCCAGTCTGTTGTTTCTACAGATTTTCCTAAAATTGATTAAAGTTTTCAGAATGGATCTACTCATTTTTAATGATCTATAGATATCATAAGCGAGAAAAATATTATATTCTAAGGAGTATCTATAATTGCAATGATGAAGATAAAAGATAACGGTTCCCCTCGCACATATATGCTAGTCATTCCTGACTCTAAGGAGCAGTGCTCATCTCTGTTTCAAAGCCAAAGAGCCAGTGATGTCCGAAGATGTCTCCGTGGTCATGTGGCTGGCATGACTAAACACTGTTACCTTCCCACCAAAGGGTTTTCCCTATTTTTCTACTTGCATTTTTATGGACTTTTGAACTGCTAGGTTGGCAGAAGGTGGGACAAGTAATGGGAGCTCATTCTGTTATGCGGCACTAGGGATTAGAACTGCCAAACTGCCGACCTTTCTGATCAACAAGCTCAGCGTCTTAACCACTGAGCCATTGAAGATACTGACTTTTAAACTCTAGAGAAGTGAAATAGTGATCAGACATTGCAGACAGATTTGAAGTAACTTGTGTTTCCTTTCTCTTAAGGTGACTGTTGGTTATTGGCTGCCATCGGTTCCCTGACTCTCAATGAGGAACTCTTACATCGGGTTGTACCCCATGGACAGAGCTTCCAGGAGGACTATTGCGGTATTTTCCACTTCCAGGTAAGGCATGCATTTTTCTACAGGAAGTGATTCACAGAGAGACCTTGCTCACCGACGTGTGTTACAGAACAAAAGAAATGCAATTCAGAAAAAGCACCATGTTTTACTCCAACTTAACTTTTTTTATTTTGAACAAACCAAGCCTGACTATAAATTCATTATTCCTTTCTTCTATTTTTTTATTCCTCAGATATGGCAATTTGGCGAATGGGTAGATGTGGTAATAGATGACAGATTACCAACCAAGGATGGAGAACTCGTGTTTGTGCACTCAGCCGAGTGTCAAGAGTTTTGGAGTGCTCTGCTGGAAAAAGCTTATGCCAAGTAAGTGTTGCTGTTGTTTAGGTCATTAAGTACCTAAAGTAGGAGGTGGAGACATGCTTTCTCAAGCAAACTCTGGTTTGGATTTGTTTCTCTGCTATTATAGCTCCCACCTTCTGTATATGTCAGGGGTGTCAAACTCAATTTCATTGAGGGCCACATCAGGGTTGTGTTTAACCTTGGGGGGGGCGGAATGGGCATGGCATGGACAACTCGACATCATTCGTGTCAGGGGCGCCTGTGGTGGCCCAAGCACTTTGCCACAAAAACAGGCTTCCGAGCTCCGTTTTCAGCTGCAATAGCCTCCTGCAACCCTCTGCCAGCGAAAACGGAGCTTGGGAGGGACGCAGGCCCTCTTGAGTTCTGTTTTCACTGCAGAGGCACCCTGGGCCAATCCTTTGCTGTTTCCAGGGTGGCCCGACAGACCAGATCTAAGCACCCCGCTGGCCAGATCTGCCTCCCGGGCCTTCAGTTTGACAACCCCTGAAATAGGTGGAGACCGCTGACAAGGTTTGTAGGCATCCTTCTAATTCTGAGTTTTGTTTGCTACATAGGTTGAATGGCTCTTATGAAGCCCTGTCCGGGGGTAGCACCACTGAAGGCTTCGAAGATTTCACAGGTGGTGTGGCAGAAATGTATGACCTCAAAAAACCACCTCGCAATTTATCCAAAATCATTTGCAAAGCCCTTGAGAGAGGATCTCTGCTTGGCTGTTCCATTGATGTAAGAAATGGTTCCTGAGAAGGTTCATGAAACGCTTTAGTTTGGGAATTTTAAAACTCTTTCTTTATCTGGTTCTTATTTTTAGACACCCATTTAGAGGCCAAAGTAAGCAGAATATTGGATTTCATAAGTGTAGGTTTATCAGAGCTGAACAATCGAATGAGCCTATGTTATGGGATAGAACAAATGTTAGATTAAAGAGCTCCTTCTCCGTAAAACTGGTTGGGGCTGTCATAGAAGAGTTTTCTGAAATTCATTGTTCATTCCAAGCTTTTAGCTTTTATTTCTTTAGGTAAGAAAAGAATATGACTTTCAAACACGAAAAACAAGACAATACAGAAATATAATATACAGGAAGTTAGACCATAATTGATTAATCATATTCTGGGATGCTGGCCAAGCTTGGATCCTGGGTTTACTCTCATTTGATTTATTTGCACATCGCAAAGTTTGGGGCCTATTTAAAATATGAAGTTGGTAAAAAAATAAAGTCAGAATTTACACACAAATACACATACAGTAAGTCTAAGCAAAAGAGATATTGTCCACAGTATTGTTATCTGTATATCTGACTTGATTTTTTTTCTTTTTTCTTATTCAACTTTGTTGTGAAAGAAAAAAAGTACAGGATAGGCTGAGGAAACACTTCCAAATATGTTATGGAACATTTAGTTATTTTGCTATTAATTTCATCTGTATTCTTCTGAATGCACCAGCAGACTTGCAAGTGAATACTCACTTCTGTGTATGCATGTACATTCATGTGTGCCTTTGAGTCAATGTGGATTGACATTCCCTGCAGACAAGTCCCTGCAGTTTTTGTGGCAAAGTTTTTCAGAATTAGTTTGCCATTGACTGCTTCCTATGGGTGAGAAGAATTGGATTGGATTGGATTTATTACATTTATATGCCGCCCTTTTCCCCGATGGGGACTCAGGGCGGCTCACAATTCAGTCAGGGAAGGGGGTACAGACAGGGGGATAAAAAGACAAACATAACAATACAAAATTTAAAAACACACAACAACCATACCATTCGAGAAGTGGGGCAAAAGCTCTTTAGCCCCAGGCCTGT